TTGTTTTTGCCTGAAACAAGAAGCTATTTTTCTTTTGCAGAGGCTGATCGACTTGTGGCACATTTCCAACTTTTCTCTTCTTAGTTAAAGAGTGAACTGAAAGTTAGGAAGTCAAGTTTCTTTGTGCAGTACGTGCCACTCTTAAAGGCAATTGACACTTCATTTACCAGATTAAATTCATCAGATTTCAGCCCCTTGGAATGTCCTCCTGACCCGAAAGGCGCTATATTAATGTATTTTGTTGGTGTTATTGTATCGAAATAAATATGAAGCACGGTTCTTAGAAGACCCTGCCCTGTGTTCATCGAATATCAGGGAGTTTCCTGCTTAATTCTTGAATTCTGAGTGATGATAGTTGTGCAATGATAACTCATCCCCCACTGCTAAATTTAGCTCGCTGCGGCTGATGCATTTTGGCTGAGATTCAGGTTAGAAAAGTTAGTTTGTTCAGTGACTCAGTCCATTGGCAATGCCAAGACTAGTTGTTTTCTGCCATCCCTTGAGATGGCATGATAGTAGAGTCCCATAGGGTAGGGTACAGTCGCTCACCTCGCAAGCGAGGGCATTCTAGCTTGATTCCCTGGCGGGGCGAAACCTTAGGCAAGTTTCCTTACTCCTTTGCTTCCCTAGAAGTAAGTAGGAATCCGGTTGTCAGTTGATTGACAGCTCGCTTTTGTTAATAATCCCTAAAAATAAATTGGTCATTCAATCCATGACTGATTGTGGGATACTGCTGTGCGTTTTCACCCACAAAATACACAGTCAATCCACTTTATGCAATCCAGTGGTCTCCGGCTTGCTTCATGTCCCCCGCCTTGCTCTATCGGTGGGCGGGCCTTCTGCCACTCTGCACCCACCCTCTGGAACTCCATCTCGCAGCCCCTCCATCTCGTCCCCTCCCTCGCCACCTTCAAGATCCACCTCAAGACCCACCTCTTCGACCGTGCTTTCGATCTCCCTTCTTCCCCCCCCCCCTGCCCTCCCCCACCCCAACCCTCAGCTCGGGTCCGAAACTCTGTCTGTCCAGAGCCTTGGGATGTCCTCCTGACGTGAAAGGCGCTTTACAAATGTAATTTTGTTGTCGTTGTTGCTTATGATATATTCTGTGAAGCACTTTGAGACGTCTCAACAATGTGCTACATCAAATGCACGGATTATTATTATGGTAAATGTATTCCTTCAGATGAGCACCTCTGTATTAAATGGTTTATGGAAAAAATCTCCGTTCACGGGTCAAAGTGCTTCGGAGGACACACTGTAAAGTGTAGTGTTACGTACATTTTTGTAGGTGACTGTAACAAAATAAATATAACATGTCACAATAAATGTAACAATCTGATGAATGTGGGACTTATCTAACAAAGGATCAAATTCAATAGTTTTAAAATTGAAACCGAACAAGACAATTACTGTATAAGGTCCTGTTAAGAGGAGATTAGTTTCCTTTTGTTGACCCACATAGAGGGAATTTTCAACCAATTCAATTTGTTTTTGGGTGAGAAAAAAGGCAGGAGAGATAGAGCAAACAGATCGCTCAGATAAAATACTTTACTGTTTGATAGAATTCTTAAAGGAGAAACTGGAGAACATTTCTGTTTGTATTTGTCCAATTATATTGCTATCCGTGACTGTGTGAGTATACTTTTTCACTGAAAGGTTAACAAGATTAAACGGTCAGAGATTTTAAAAAAAAGAGGGCGAGAGAAGCTGGGTAATTAATGCTATAATTAGTTAATAACTTCACAGTATTTTTATGATTATTAAGAGTATTTGCTGTTGACTTGTCTCAACTCTGGGTCAGAAGATAATGGGTTCAAGTCCCAATGGGACTTTGAGCATCAATATTATTAAACATATATCATTATTATTACTGGTAATATATAATTATTATATTAATGATAGCATTGTCATATCAGAACATTATTAATATTGTATCATTATTAATAACATTGTATTGTTAACAACATCACATTAATAATAATAATAATAATAATCCTTGCATTTGATATAGCACTTTTCACGTCGGGAGGACGTCCCAAAGATTAATAATAATATATCAGCATTATCATCAGCTGTATCACTGTATGTCAGCCTGGCGCAGTGGTAGCACCTTTGCCTCTGAGTCAGAAGGTTGTGGGTTCCTAGTCCCACGTCGAGGCTTGAAATGACATATTCTAAGCTGACTCTCCAATGCAGCGCTGGGGGGGGGGGGGGGGGGTGGGCGTGGCATTGTCGGCGATGCCGTCATTTGGATGAGACACTAAACAGAGTTCCCAGCTGCCTGTTCGGTTGGACATTAATGTTGGACATTAAAGATCCAAAAAAGATCCATTGCACTATTCAAAAAAGAGAAGGGCCAAAAAAAAAATCCCCCAAATAAAATCGATCACTCACTTCCATGGCTGTTCGTGGGATATTGCTGTGCGCAAACTAACTAAATACCCAGTCACTCCACTTTACAGGGTATCACCCAAAGACGTGTCGACCGTGTGTCAAGGCGCTATATGAAATGCTGGGATCGTCATTATCATTATTAATAACATCGCATTAAGCGATAACATCATATCATTAATCATCATCAACAGTAACACTATCAGCACAGATCAGCACTACTGATCATTATCCTCCGGGCATACACAACATACCACACACACACACACACACACGCACAGACACATGCGCACACTGACTGACACACATACACATACACACACACACACACACACAGACAACTGCACACACTGACTGACACACACACACACACACAGACACATGCACACACTGACTGACACACACATGCACACACACAGACACATGCACACACTGACTCACACACACATGCACAGACACATGCACACACTGACTCACACACACATGCACAGACACATGCACACACTGACATACACACACACACAGACACATGCACACACACAGACACATGCACACACACAGACACATGCACACACTGACATACACACACACACAGACACATGCACACACACAGACACATGCACACACTGACACACGCACACATGCACACACTGACTCACACACACACACACATGCACACAGACTGACACACACACACACAGACACATGCACACACTGACACACACACACATGCACAGACACATGCACACACTGACTGACACACACACACATGCACAGACACATGCACACACTGACTGACACACACATGCACACACTGACTCACACACACACACACACACACAGAACAGAGCAGCTCAGGGGGTTTGCTCGGCAGCGCCACCAGCGGGGCAGGGCGGTCACTGCAACAACAGCGGAATCCATCACTCACTCACTCACTCACCGAGTGTGTGTGTGTGTGTGTGCGCGCGTGTGGTGGGTGGGCGGAGCGTCGAGGCCAGTGCGTGCGTGCGTGCGTGCGTGCTCGCCATCTGCGTGCGTACGTGCGTGCGTACGCAAGTGCGTAATCCACCCTCCGTCCCTCCCACCTCTCTCTCTCTCTCTCTCTCTCTCTCGCCCGTCCCACGTGATCAGAGCGGGAGCGGTGGGGGGGGAGGAGGAGGAGGAGGAGTGAGCGAGCGAGCCCGGCCAGCCAGCACGCATGCGCGCGCGCGCGAGGGCGGGAGGGAGAGGAGAGGGAGAGGAGGGGGAGGGAGCGCGAGCGCGAGAGAGCGAAGCGAAGCGACTAAAATCGAGGAGCCGCGAGAGAAGGAGCCCCCCGGCCGCCATTACGCCGTGAAGGAAAAAAAAAGGAGACGCGGAGCCAGCGAGGGAGGAGGAGGGGGAGAGAGAGAGAGAGAGACAGACAGACACACACACACACACAAGAGACCACAGCCACACACACACAGGGAGGGAGAGAGAGTGGTGGGTGGAGGGGGGGGGAGGCCAACAGACAGAGACAGACACTCAGACAGACACTCAGACAGACAGACAGAGAGGGAGAGAGAGGGGGAGACTCCCCACACCCACCCACACACCCCCTCTCAAACAACCGCAACCTCGGCCTTTATCTCTCTCCCTCCCTCTCTCTCTCTCTCTCTCTCCCTCTCTCTCCCCTCCTCTCTCCCTCCCTCCTTCCTCTCTTTTTTCTGGTGGGGTGGGTGGTGGGGTTCTGTTGTGTTATTGTGTTTTGCAAAAAAAAATAACGAAGAGAAGACATTTTTTTCATATATATATATATATATAGTGGCATTTATATATATATATATATATCACATCTGTGTGTGTGTGTTGTCTATATATAGAGTGAGAGTATATATATATATATATAAGGGGAGGGTGGGGGGAGATTGAGAGAGGGAAGGGGGTGGGGGGAGAGCTTTTTTTTCAAAAAAAAGCCAGTTGGAGAACATCTTTTTGAATTAAAACCTTTCCCCCCCTCCCTCCCTCCCTCTCTTGCTTTCCCTTCCCAACCCGCCCCTCTCCTTCCTCTTCCTCCTCTCTCCATCCCCTCCCCTCTCCAACCCTCCACCCACCCACCCCCCCAAAAAAATAAAAAGAGCGAGAGGGAGACAAGAAAGAGAGAGAGAGAGAGAGAAGATATATATTCATCGACATTTTTCTCCTCCCTCCCCTCCTCCCTATTCGGCTGGCGTCAGTCAGTCAAGTCAAGTCAGACAGTCAAGTCAGTCCATCGCTTGTGGGTGATTTTTTCCCCCCCCCCAACAAAAAAAAACGAAGAGAAAAGACTTAAGGGAACAGTTTTTTTTCGTGTGTGTGTGTGTGTGTTTTGTTTGTGTGTGAGGGTGCTTATATATATATATATATATATACACATACATATATATATATATAAAAGTGTAATTCATATTTTTTTTGGAGAAGAGTGCTAGAAAAGAAAGAAAGGAAGAAGGAAAAAGAGAGAGAAGCAGAAAAAGAGGGTGAAAAGAAAGGGGAGGGAGGAGGCGGAGGTTGGTTTTAAATCCCTCCTTTTTGTGTGTGTGTGTGTGTGTGTGTGTGTCGTCTGTCTGTGTCTCGCTTCTCTCTCCTCTTCCCCTCTCCCTCCCTCCCTCCCTCTCTCCCTCTCCGGGTGTCTCTCTCTCTCTTGTGCACAAACCAAGACGGAAGCTTTAAATTCGACCTCCGGAGAGAAAGTCATGCACGGAGCATGACTGCAGCAAACTGGGTGGCCAACGGTGCTAGCTTGGAGGATTGCCATTCAAATTTATTCTCTCTGGTGAGTTGAGTTAAAGTGCTGTGTGTGTGTGTGTCTGTGGAGATGTGTGTGTGTGTGTGTCAGACAGACAGACAGAAGAGGGAGAGGGGAGAGAGAGAGACAGACAGAAATGGGGCCTTAGGCTGTGTGGGAGCAGCCATTTTCTACTAATGCTTCAGCAGAACCGTTTACATGGCCTTATTTTCCTGTCTGGAGTTTACCCCTTTTTTTTTGGGGGGGGGAAGGATGTTTACGTTTCTCTTCTCTCCCCTCCCTGCCTCTCTCTCTCTCTCTCTCCCCCCCTCCCTTCCACTCTCTCTCTCCCTCTCCCCACTAGCCTCCTCATTGCTACATTTTGTTTTACCTTTATTTTCTCCCACCCCCTCCTCTCCTCTCATCTCTCTCTCTCTTTCCCTCCTCCTCATCCTCCTCCTCTTCCCCCTCCCCTTCTTAACAGTGCTGGAGCTTTTAATCCACCATCTTGGACTGAAGATTGTGTGCATATTTCAAACCAAATTAAAGCGTGTGTGTTTTTTTTACTAAGGAGGGAAGGGGGGAGGGTAAGAGTTTGAACGGTAATCTTACATGGCTACTGATTTGCTGGCTAGCTTTATTCTGCGTTTTAATATTAAAATGAACTCCCTGATCTTAAATATCCCCCCCCCCCCTTTAAATAACGTCTGGAATAATAAATCTTGTCTGAAGTTTCAACATGCTGCACTTTTTCTACTCTGGGTGTCTGTAATTGTTGACATGACCTTATTTCAGTAGCCTTCCTTTTCTTTTGTACCCGATCGGTTTGTATTCCAACAGAAGGTTTAAAGAAACCATATTTTTCCTTCATAATGCTATAGAGTTTGCTTCAATTTTTCAGATGGCATTCTTTAAATGTCTGCATATGCTTCATGTAGCCTTGTTGTTTTGTGCAAATAGTTGGGTTTTGTAGCTCATATTGTGGGCCACATTAAATAGGTGTTTAGTTTCGTTCTTGCAAAATAAATAATCAGCAGTTTTTTTAATAAAAACTTGAAGAAACCCGAAACTTTTATGAACATGACATCACATTCTCGAAAACTTTGTTGCACTCTCTGTGGTGGGACAACCTTCATGTGCTTTTGAGAACTATTTCATTATAAAAACATCTAACTTGTTATATAATTGTATTGGTACATGATTTTTCTTGCTAATGTAAATGAAGATTTGTGGTTTGCCATGTAGTACTCATTTGTAAACCGTTTACATGCAATATTAAAGTATGAGCGTTAAATCTTTGCCCACAAGACGAATTCATGCAAGTAGCTGTCATGTAATTAAATGCATGTTTTTAAATTAATTCACTTAGTTCTAATGCATGACTATGATTCTTATAACAAATCTGTTTGACTGAGTATGTTTGCTACTTTTCAAAAACAGCATTTTGTAAGTGCCTTTACAACATGGACAGTGGTGTGATATTTGAACATTTGATGAACTGCTTTCATTTTTATTTTTGTATCTCTTGTTTTTCACTGAACAGGCTGAACTAACTGGCATCAAATGGCGTAGGTATAGTTTCCAGGGTTTAGGGGGCTGTGGTCCCATCATTTCAGCTCCAGCTCAGGATGATCCCATTCTGCAGACTTTCATTCGATGTCTGCAGGCCAATCTGCTGTGTGTATGGCGACGAGATGTGAGACCTGAAGCCAAGGAATTGTGGATTTACTGGTGGGGAGAGGAGCCTAATCTGGTTGATATCATTCACCATGAGTTGCGAGGTTAGTTTATTTTTTCCTCTCTGCTTACTAAAATGGCTGTCCTATTGGAATAGTCTTGATGATTTGTTTGTTGAGGAATACAATTGTAAATGTGAACCCATTTGAGGTGGATACAATTTGCTATTAGGAGCATTTCTTTTCTTGCTAAGATGTTTCAAGCTTTTTGGGGGAATATTTCAATGTTGCCTTTAGAAATCATTCTGTGACTTGCATGTATTTCTTTGCATGCGCCTAGACATCCACCATTTAAATGAAAAAGTACCTAATAGGAATTTCAGTCCAATTTCCTAAAATTGGCAGACTTTGAATCCAATTGCTCTCCTCTCTTAATGTAGTACTGTGTTTCTTGTTGGATGAATTCAGTTGGCATCTGAAATTTCCATTGCCTTGAAGATTGACAGTTTTGTGTAGCTGTGTTTAAATTTTAAGAATGATGACAATGTTTTCAGAAATGTTTCCACCCACCTCCTTAAGGTCATATTGATTCTGTTACTGAGGATAATTTGGGTGCTTTATAGGTTCAGATAGTAGTGTATTGTTTTAGCTGTGACTGGTGGGTTACAGCTTTCAGTCTGTGGAAAACTCTAGAGAGGCCTACTCTACTGCAAGGTAATTTGACCCTGTCAGCAGGGTAGTTGTATACTATTTACTGAGTGAATTCTTTGAATTCCTGGCAATTAGTTGATATTCTCCTTTAAAATCTACTACTTATAATTACTCGTTTCACTGTCTTGTTTGTTCCAAATATACTAAACATTTTTTTGAGTTTTTATTCCCCAGATGTAACTGAGTGCTTCTTCTGTTTGCATCTGTATAAAACGAATGCCTGCAGACAAAGTAGGAACCTTTAGAGTTCACTATGTGAAGGTTTTTTGAAAATTGAGTTTATCCTGGAAACACATTTCAGCTGTTGGGGACACCCCCCCCCCCTCCCCCCACCCAGAGATCAGATGTTTAGTGAGAAACTGATGCAGGTTGGTGTGGTGGATAACAGCTTTTTGTTGTAAAGTAATCTGTCATGGTTGTGGCACTTTATCTGTTATCGGTAAACTATTCAGTAAATTTAGTGCTCTAGAGTAGGAAATGATGGGTTCTAACAATATATTATGTAGTAGTTTGTGGAACATTCTTGTACGCTACAGTAAAATCGTGAAAAGACACTATTTTTCACTTACTCTCTCGCTGTCACCTGATGCTCAACTTTACACTAAATTGAATGCCCAGTCTAGGATGGGTGGGGAATGATTTGTATTTTACGAACAAAGGAAACAATCTGATAAATGAAGAATGAAAATGACTTGTTAGAAATTTGGCCGAATGTGCCAACAGCTTGCAAAACATCTCATTTTGCTCTTATAAGTGAAACTGGTGCAGAATTGTAGCTGGTTTCCATTTTGTTTACCTGTTCATAGGTAGGTGTTGTAATTAAAAATGAGTCTTGAAGCGCTTTACAGAATATAATCGACAAGAAATGAAGTTGATATTGTTTATGTGGTTAGCTAAAAAGCGTTAGCTAATCTTTGCTAGTAACTTCCCATAAACGAATGAGATGAGCAGCCAAATTATTTGAACTTTGGGGGTAAATTTGGTTTAGAAAGAAGCCAAAATAACTGGGTGGGGGGAATATTTCCCATTTCTTTGAAATGGGAACAGCAGGGCAGTCCTTTTATGTCATCCTAAATCAAGGCGGCAGCCAGAATATAAAATTAATAACTTAATCAGGGAATCTTGAATTATTGGAATTAGAGATGCGAAAGTGAGAGGTTTGAAATGGTTGCAAGGCTTTGCAAGCACATTGATAAATATTTTTGTACAGTGCTTTAAATACAAACACTAAGAGTTTAAAATCAACCTTTATCTGTTCTGCCTTGATTTTATGGTAGCTGTTGAAAATGTACTCCAATAAATTGGATAATTATACAGTGTTTACAGAAATGAACTAGATTGACACAAATGATAATAAATTGCTAGCCTGTAACAAATATTTACCTGCAAATAGGAAACCACTAGCTCTGATAAATGCTGCCTTACTAGAGAGAAACTGATGTAAGCACGATGTAGATAAGGAAAATGCCCTTTATTTAAGCATAAACCTAAATTGTGTGGGTTTTAACAATTTAAAAATATTGCAGAAATAGAATTCTTTACCATCTATCTGCTTGTTTGTTTGTCAGTCTCTCAAAATGGAAACTACAATTGCTGATTGATTTCCACTTACTTATCTGCACTGTATTGAATTTGAGACTTGTGAATTTGTTTGTCACTTAAAACTTACACTTGTGAACTTTCTGAACATGTGCTTCTCAGGAGATTTTGATAGCCTGCATATTAAGGATGAATTAAAACCCCTTTGAACAAAAAAAAAGCTGTGGTTTGAAAGTACAATGTGAAGCTTTTTTTTGTTCAAAGGTTTGTGCCATTTCCATTCACTGTTGTCTAAGTGAATCAATCTGGTGAGTTTCCTGAAGCTCAGGAAGATGTAACTGATTACAAATGCAGAAGTTTAAACGTAATCAAGTTAGATACAGTGAATGTTTGGCTCGAAATAGATGTATCACACTGACTTCCTTCCTTAGTGTGCGGCAATTGGTGACTTTCTGATCAAGTAGGACTACATTCAAACAGAATTTTAAATTAAAATCTGTGATGATTGCCTTAGATTTTGTAAAGCTTCAATTGCATTTTGCAATGAAACGCTTTTGATTTTCCAGCCTTGTTGGTTGAATTACTTGTGTGTTGATCTGGTTTTCTCAGATAGCAATAGTAAAGCATCTACTGTTTTCCTTGAACTTTGAGACTGGGAGTGAAGTAGGCCTAACTTGTATAGTACATGGCATCCATTATAGTTTAGCCACTTACCAGCATATTTCTTGTAACAATATAGAGTTAACTTAGTATGCCTCCCCCTCCCCCACAGTATTTATTTGTGGTATTTTGCCTGAAGCTTCCAGCACTTTTTTAAAAAAAAAGTGATTGAAGAGACATTTACAAGATGTGCTGCATTGTATTTATAATTAATAAACCCATGCTAAGCCAGAGTGAGACCTATTTGATGATATTGTAGCTGTTCACGCTGTGGGTGGAGCTTTAAGTGTGAGGACTGTGCAAGTATTGTCTGCATGTACAGTATGTTTGCTTCAGCTCCATTTGCAGCGTAAATAAGGCTGATCATTTCAGTAGTCACCTAAATAATGGAACGGTGGCACGTTTAATACCAAAGATTTTAAGATTTGTAGTTTTTTCACTCGCTGTATATGAAATGCCTTTATAATATTGAATCTTCACATTTGGGCCAGCCAAAAGTGTATGCTTATATTTTATTTAAGTTTTCAAAAAATGCCCATTACTGTATTAGGTGAACCCACATAATGAGTTTTTAGAGCATATAGGATAAATATAACTGAGGTTGATTTTTGCGAAATTATGTAAAATAGTTGCTCTTCGTGCTATTTTCTAATTTGAAGAGAGAAGAAAAGGGAACCCCCTTTTTGTGTTTATTGATGTATTTGAATATTTGTAACCATTATACCACACTGTTATGATCAACAGTTTCCTGCAGGTGGGAACACTCATTCATTGAACAAATTGTAGAAGGAAGGAAAACAAATGGGCATTGGATACATATTGCAATAATTAGTACACATTCCCCCCCACCTCTAAGTATACTTACATTTTTGAGCATTTAGTGTTAAATTCCTAAACATTTACTTCAGTAACTACATTGATTTTTTTTGTAGGGTTCATGTTCTTCTTTGAACCCTTGAAATGTTATTTTAAATGTTGCTGGCATTAAGCTTTTAAATTCTTGTTGAATAGTACAGTAACACATTTGATTTCCATTGTATTGGTATAGAAGCACCTCAACTTTTGCCTGCAATAGAGATGCTTGAAAAGCATTTATTTATGGATAATTATTGTTTTGAGTTAACCTGTTGGGTTCTATTTGTATGGCTATTGGAAAAGATTAAATATAACAAGGCGGATCTGGGGGGTTCTTTTGGTTGCAGTGATGTGTGAACACTTCTAGTGTAAATTTCTCACCTATATAGTAGTAACCAAAAAAAATGTAAAATCTTAATTACCAAGCATTTTTTTAAAAAAAAGGAAATGAATGTTTCTAATTTTTGAGACTGTGTTATGTAATTTTTTTCCAATTCTTACTAAGATATACCTGCATTCATTCTACACCCTGGAACTCTCCCTCAATCTCTCCACCTTGCTCCCTCATTCCCCAGGTAGACTGTGCCTACGGTCCCCTCTCCTGGCTTGGTGTTGGGCACCACTGTTAAGGCCTCCAAGATGCTATGCTGCGTAAAGGCACTATATAAATGCAAGTTATTGTTTGAATCTGACTTTAGGTACAGAGTGACTGAAGTATATAGTTTTGGTGAAGTCAGGATTATTCTGTGGCGATATCAGGTTTTTGAAGCAAAATACATGACTGTTTGTGGATTTCTCAGCAAACTTGCATTTTTTTTGTTGGGTGAATTGTGGGCTGCTACTGTTCTTTGTAAATCCACAATGCCTTGAACTGCAGCGCCAGGAGAATTTTTATTTTTTTAAAAAAATCTTAATTCATCACCAGTCCACTGCTTGACAAATTATGATTGTAACTTATTTAGTTTAAACCCAGTTGGATTATTTGGTGTGATAATATAGTGTTAAGAAAGTAACAAATCATTTTGAGTTTTCTGATATGATTATGTTGGTCCACCATCTATTCTTGCTATCTAATGTGTACTGTATGCACATTTTACAATCTGCACTCTTATCTAATTTTAATCTACATTAGTGGTTTTAAATCAGCAATCATCATTCAGTGTTTGAGAGTGATGGAATTTTCTTTTGTTGCACGCTGAACACATTCCTTAGTTAAACCATGTTGCATTATGAGGATTTAAAGAATAACAGACTGCGGCAGATCATCAGCACCCTGGCCCATTTGGTCGTTAGTGATGGAATCTTTTTCTGGTTTGATACATCATGGGCCTTCATGGCAA